TGGTTTGTTCCGCATTTTCCTGGTTCTTTGTTACCAGCATACTGAGTTTGCGTTGTTTTTGTTAATAATCACATTTTTGTCATACGCTCTTATCCTTGTCTTCATTTGTGGGATCCACTCCTATCCCTTCCCGGAATTTAAGAGAACCAACCTTTTGCATCCTTTGGGCCGCCTCCCTGTTAGCATTTGATTTGCCGTGTCGTTCAATTGCTGAAACATCTGCTAGTGTTTGGACTGCATACGTCTGTAATGGCTTTGGTAAAACCACTCTCGATTAGCATGCACCTCGCCAATGCCAAATAGTGTGCGCCAAATGCGCTCAGCAGTGCCATTTTGATGTGGCAAATATGGTGCTGACGTCTCATGTTTGATGCGATTTTTAGCTAGCAAGCTTTGGTAGTCTTTATACAATACAATTTTTACCCCCAGAATGTTTTCTATTGTCAGATTTGACCTTCCTGTATGGGGCTGTACCTGCCAGGAATTTTTCAGTTGCTTTCACTGTGTGTTTCATGAAATACACAAACACTACAAGGGAATAATCACAGGTAAATCACAAAGCAAAGTGATTGATTCTGCATATTTTGGTCCTGCTACCTCTCACATTAGATTCTCTATTTCTAGTTTGAGTAAACTTAACTGAGCGCACACACTGTAACGTAGCTTAGTCAATTTTACCGTCACATATCACAACACCTTTTGCATTGGTCATCGTTATCACCATTCGGTTACTTCCGGGTTGAGTGAACGCTGGCGCGTCTGGCTGCCGCTGCTCACCCGCAATTATTCTTTTTGTAACTTTTTTTTACTGTTTACTGTCGTTTCTACGGTTTACTCTCGTCATGGGAGAAACCCTTACACCTGTCGCAATTCGTTGTGGTTTTGGACCGTCGGTCGTCGAACGGTTGTCCTTGGTCGAGCTGTCGCAGCGTCCTACCTGTTCGGCTGTCGGACGGGGCCCCGTGCCTTCTCCAGCCTTCTGCGCTCCGTGGTGGGGGTCGACGGGGCCTGTGTCTGGGCTATGCTGCTGTGGACCGTCCTGTCGCTCCTCCGTCTGCCCGTGGGAGGACTGCTGCGTTGCTCGGTGCCACGGCTTCTTGGGCTCCGCTTCCGGTGGTCGGGCTCCCCGCCTGCGCTGCATCGCTTCCCGGGCGTCGCTCCTCATCCTTCCCGGAGGTGGATCCGCCACAGATCTCGTCGGGGTTTCCACCTCGATCGCTCCAGGGGCATCACCTCCTTTTGGTCGTCCTCCCGCCAGCCACGCAGAGACAACGGCAGAAATGGCGGCCGATCCGCGGACCACGGCGTGTTGGCCGGGCTGGCTGGGTCGGCTTGTTCTCCTCGCGACGGCGATATCAACTATTTAAAATCGCATATTCAGTTTAAATTAATCTCTCCTTTTATTATTTATAATTTTATCTGTGGTTTTATTGTTCTCTTTTTGATTGTAAAGTGTCCTTGAGTGTTTTGAAAGGCGCTTATAAATGAAATGTATTATTATTATTATTATTATTGTTATTCACGGTGTATAAATAAAACAGCCTATTGTGTTTGTGTATGTGGAATTATGTCCCATCTCCGCTTCTTACAACATCACATCCTTTCTTCAAAATGGCTGTTGCACCACAGGACGTAAATGTTTGCACAGAGAAGATGTCCCGTGGGAAGAAGGAAATATATAAAATAACCTGTCGCAGTGTTTACTTGCCGTTGTCTGTTACTTGCGCTCTGCTACGCCTGACGGTTTGGAAGTAAGAACGTTATAATACAAAGCAACAAAGAATCAAAGGAACGGTTTTGTAACAAACATACATGCAACTCTGTAACAACACACTCCATTTGAGAGCACTCATCTTACCAAAAAAAAAATACATTTTCACATTGTGTGGAGTTTGCATGTTCACCCAGTGCCTGCGTGGGTTTACTCCAGGTACTCCGGTTTCCTCCCACATTCCAAAAACATGCATGGCAGGCTGATTGAACATTCCAAATTGTCCCTCGGTGTGAGAGTGAGCGCAGATGTTTGTCTCTGTGTGCCCTGCGATTGGCTGACAACCGGTTCAGGGTGACTCCCGCCTACTGTCCAAAGACGGCTGGGATAGGATCCAGCACGCCCCGCGACCCTTGTGAGGATAAAGCGGATCAGAAAATGGATGGATGGATGGATGGATGAATGGTTTACCTTACCTGTAAATCATCAAAAACATCTTCAGCAAGAGCGCACACAACGGGCATGCGTAAAGTATCTTCCCTTCAAATGAAAATGTTTGTGGGTCTATTGTGATTAGGCCAAACAAAAAAGTTTTCGGCATAGGGTCGGTAGATCGGACAAAGTTTTTTTTCAATCTTTTTTTTTTCCCATCAAAAATTTAAACAACATAACCATAAAACATAAAACAAGTTGACATTGAACCCCCCTAAGGCGGCGAGAGAGTTGGGTACCCGGCGGCTGGGTGTTAGGTTCCGAGGTCGGCCGGGTCGCGATGGCACCGGCGGGGGGAGGTCCCCGACGCCGGCCGCGGCCCGGCCTGGACTAGAGTTGCGTGGACTAGGCGGACGGTGCGTCGACAAGCGCGCAGACGCGCGGGTCGGCGGTCGGCCGCCACCTATTTAGTTCTCTCCCCGCTCCGGACTCGGGGGGCCGCCTGCGCCGTCCTACTCCGCCCTCGGCTTTTACTCGGCCCGTGGTGTTCATCAAATAGTTCGCTGAATTTTTTCGATACATCAATGGATGCTATTTTCTTAACATTACGGTGCAAGCATGCGACTGTAACACAGAAAACACGGTTTAAACTGTCGTTGGAGATCGCGGCCGCCGCCATGATTCAATGTTGTTGACAGACGACAGGGCAAACGACGCACACGCTCAACGTGAATATCGCGAGAGTTTGCACCGATGTAAAACCTCTACGCAAAAAATGTAGAGGGTTGTTTGAAAAAAATGCCGACCGTAAAGTTTGTTTTCGACGTAGAAATTCTCGGTTGGTCGGGTTACCGGAAACACACTACTTTTTTTTCTCCGCCTTAGCAAAAGCTGTAGAAATGTCACATCGATATTTTACATCGCAAGAGAGCTCTGCAGCTATGAATTCAAGCTGGATGTTGCTTTACGGCAGGCGTGCCCGCACTTTTTCAGTATATGAGGTATAAGTCCAAATGAGCTGCCTTATTTATTTCTTCATCCATTTATTTATTTATGTTTATGTTTTCAAATGTACTTTGAATTCTTCATGGGCATAATAAACATTGCCGTACCTTGCATGAACCATGTTGCGCAATCCAACGAGAGTACAATTTCTGTCCTTACTTTACTCTGATGACTTGCACTGCATGGAATCACCCGGGGTTGGTGTCAGGGCAGGAGCTGCTGATAGCGAGCCATGCGCACAGTCGCACACCTCCCAATGAACATCAGTCATGTTGGAACATTACTTGGACTTTGCGTTTGTATCATTGGCCCCAAAATGCTGCTCCACATTCCTACCTTCAGCCGGCCAGCAAGCGAACTGGGCTGAGCGAGCGGTGTGACTCACCGCTCAGCTGGACATCCCAGTCGCCGCCACCACACCAACCAGCAGCCAAGACACCATCGGAATGCGTCCCCCCCTTGTACAGGTGTTTCGGTGGACGGGTCTTCCATCCTGTGGGTCATTCTCCAGGGCTGTCTTTGGCTTTTCTATTGTAGATGAACACTTGAATGACTTTTCTCATATTGCCCATATCTGGCCGAGTCATTCCCAGTTACCCTTTGTAGGGCATGCCTATAAACCCTAATATACATTACATGTACAGTATGGTATATATTTGCCTACAAATAGTAATGGTCCCAATATGTATCGTTGAAAGGGTATTATTGAAGTACCCTTGAGCATACTCCCCCAGTGAAAAGCCATCGGACCCCTAAAGATGCGCATTTAGCTCTTTTTTTCTGACAGTGTTGTGCACCAGTCTGTCTTTTGGAAACCTCTGGCCCATTAACTTGAAAGCAATCGTCCTTTTCTTTGTCTTCAAAAACTGCATCAATAAAACAATGCAAAGCAATTTATTGGAGGTTTTATGTTAGCCACTGGACAATGGACCAAAATGTGTTTTTTAATGAGTTAGTGAGTTTCACGGAAATACTGAAGTGTGAATTTTCTGAAAGATATTGCCATTTTGATTTGATTCGTGATTTTTCCCCTTTTTTTTTCTTCAAAGCAAGCTTCAAGACAGTATTCACCATGTACAGTAACATTTACAGATATGGCAGGAAATTACATCTTACTGTAAACATATTGAAAGCTATTACATTAACAATGGAAAGACACAAAAGAGGGAGTGTGTGGGAGGCAGTCTTTTTTCAAGGTTTTTAAATTGGTTCAATAACGCAAGAACTACTGCTAGCCGTCATAAATATCCATATGTCATCGTGGGTAATAATGTATGTAAAAAATATTTTAAATTGTACACTAATTTGCTTCAAATGGAGAGTGAGGGCTGAGCAACATGTCCTAACATTTATATCATGGTATAAATTGGATCCCTTCACAGTAAGACACTTTATGTAGAAAAGTGTCAAGTTATTCAAATGTCAAAAGTGAAATTTTCCCGTTAAAAGAGGCAGAAACAATCAGATTTATTTTTCTCTCTGTGTTTTCATTCAAATTTTACATTTCCGTGTCATCATATGCCTGCTTTTTCTTCGATGTAATGAAATACATTTAACAAATAGATGACATACTTAAAGTCCCTGAGCAAAATTAATTGATTTGAAAAGAAGGACATTTTAATTAATCCCACGGACCCGAAGAAAAAGATTTTATTAATCAATTAAAAAATGACAATGACATTTTAATTGTTGATTGCGCTTGTAAAGTGTGTGTGTGTGTGTATATATATATATATATATATATTATATTATATATTTATTTATATACATGTTTTGGAGGGCTTCTCTCTCTCACACACACAGACACACACACACACACACACACACACACACATACACTTGCACACACGGGATGACTTTCGAAATGTTGTGATGACGTAGTGCTCACCTCCCCCGTCGTGCGCATTAAGTTGGAAGCGTGCACGGCGCCGTGCTGAAGGCATGTGGGCAGTGTCTGAGCCGCACCAGTGTGGGTCGCGGCGCGCTATGACCGGCAACTTGTAGCAGCTGTGAGCGATCGCGTGCAGAGAGACAAAATGGGGATGGGCAGCGAAGATCTGCTGGTGACACTCCAAATATTACCTGGTTTCTTTTCCAACTGCCTCTTCCTGGCGCTGTACGATTCCATGGTGCTGGTGAAGCGCATTGTTTCGCTTTTAAGTTGCTCCAGTTCCGCCGGCTCGGGAGAGTGGCGTCGCATGTTGACAACGGCTGGGCTCCGCTCCATCTGGAACAGTTTCTTGCTGGACGCTTACAAAAAGGTAAGGCGATGGAGACTGAAGGATTGCAGAGTAACCGACGATGCAACGATAAACGCTCACATTAACACATATGCCTGTAATTTATCAAGACGCCATCAGTGCGACTTTTTCGGAGTTTTACTGGGATATAAATGAACATATGTCATACGCCGAAATAACGTCAAAGCACAGCTGATGTCAAATACTGCATTGAGGTCCACTTTTGTTCATTTTGTCATCTCGAACAATCGCATGATCAGCTCCGCTGCGCCGTAAGCGCACGTGTGTCTGGAAACATGCTCCCGTAATCATATTTCATTATCGTTCTGTAATCTGACCGCAGAACTAGAAATAACGTGCCAGGTTTAACGAGAGGTGTGCCGGATCTGCCCGCATCAAAGTGCAGTGTAAGTTCCAGTGAGCAGAGACGTGGCAAATGTTATTTCCTTATTGATTTATTTATTTTTGTATTTGTGATGTAAAAACGAAGAGCAGCTTTTTACGGTGGCGTGCCAGCAGGAGTTTAGGTTGAGATTCCGGTTTGCATGACACAATTTAAAGTAAACAGTGGCATGATGTTCCAATTGTAAATATTTGACCAAAGTCACAATTCCTCCCCAGCTAATCTAATCATAGACTGTTGACCTATGGCTGAAATGACAGAAATCCCGTCCAAGAGATCAAAAGAGGTCAAAATGGAGAGGCGCTGTCGTACATCGTGTACCAGCACTGGAATTTATACATAATGGCACCGCTTGGTCACTGGATCTGGGAGGTAAATGTCAATTATTCTTGCTGCTTCTTTAGGTCAAACTTGGCTGTGAGGCGCCTAACTCCAAAGTGGTGAAGGTTTCGGCTAGTCCTCGGTGGAGCAAAAAGGTTACGCCGACACCTGATGAGCAACATAGTGCGCGGGTCCGAAATCGAGATGAATGCCGCCTCCTGGATTTTGAGTCGTCAGATCGCCCTCTGGTGGTCAACTTTGGTTCAGCCACATGACCCCCGTTCGTCAGCCACCTGCCGGCTTTCCGGCAGTTGGTGGAAGACTTCAGTGATGTTGCTGATTTTCTGCTGGTGTACATTGACGAGGCTCATCCATCTGACGGCTGGGTGGCCCCACCTATGGGCTCTTGCTCTTTCGATGTGCGCAAGCATCAGAGTTTAGAAGAGAGGCTGGGAGCGGCGCGCAAGCTGATTGATCACTTTTCTCTGCCCCCGCAGTGTCAGCTGGTCGCTGACTGTATGGACAACAATGCTAATGTGGCTTACGGTGTGTCTAACGAACGCGTGTGTATCGTACAACACAGAAAGGTTAGCTATTTGGGGGGCAAGGGGCCTTTTTTTTACAATCTGAAGGAGGTGCGGCAGTGGCTGGAACAGAGTTATGGTAAACGATAGAAGTTATCAAAAGCAGGTGAAGAAGAGGAACTACAGTATCCTGCTTTTTTTTTTTGCTCCTTAAGATAACCTTGGTTTTTCTCAGTGTCTGAAACATGACAAATAACGAACTGACTGAAAAAAAACTTTCAACGCTTCGTCGTGCCGATAACGAAAACTGTTCTCTGCTGCCACAAGTCCTGTTGATTCCTGAAATTGAAGAGAGAGAAATAACTTTAGTTTGTACAGCTGATTAAGGAGGTTGTGTTGGTCTTTAAATGTGTTTTTCCACGATAATTCATTGTAATAATTCATGCATACTTTTATGTGGGCCTTTCTTAGCTATATGCCCATTCATACACAAGGTCTTGGCCAAAATTGTCAACTCGTTAAACTGCACTCAGTTTTTTCCAGACTAATTCAGACCATGACTGGGTTTTCTGACAATGTCAAATTGAAAAGTTATTGTTCTGCAAAATTAAAAAAAAAAAAACACTCTAAAGTGATGTAACATTTCTGCAAAAAAAAAAAGTGTCCTCCAAATCAGTATTTGGCAAACTTCCTTGGTTGGTCAAATTAGGTCACTGCAATATTTCCCCTTTGTGTCTCCACTCACTGGCACATTCAGGATTGTAAATGAGCAGTCCCGCCCCAGATTCACAATTCCATCTCACCGTTATTCTGACTGTTTTCTGAATCCACTTCTTCAGACTTTTGTTCTCGGACGGAAAGGCCTCATCATTTTCGTCTTCCAACCTCTCGTAAACTTGTGATATATGAAACATCTGGAGCAACTGCTATACAGTATTGACTCTCTCTGATTTCATTCTCTGTAGCTTCATGCAGTCTTATGAGGCTCGAGAGTTCAGCGTGTTCCTGTCAGAGCTACAGTTTAACTTTGCTCTTTCTATTCATTACTGGTTTACTTCTCTTAGAACAGAAGTTTTAAAATCTTTTCTTATGTTGTTCACCTGTTTTCTTCTCATTTTGCCACATTATTTGTGCATAGTACAAGTGTAGTCTAACAAATTGCCCGAAACAGTGTGTGTGTATGTATGTGTGTGTGTGTGTGTGTGTGTGTGTGTGTGTGTGTGTGTGTGTGTGTGTGTGTGTGTGTATATATATATATATATATATATATATATTTTTGTTTTCCCCAAACCACCAATGGGGACAGAAGCATCATTTGAAATCAATGTCAATCCTTGCCAACCTCCACCTAAAAAAACAAAAACAACCAACGTAGCACAAAATTCATGTTCTGATTCATCATCCGTGTCCTGTTTTTCCTGCAAACGTGTAGGAGCAAAGGACACTAAACGGGGGCGCGATGAAAATGAGCTGTTTTAACATTCTTGCTTTACCACTTGAAGTACTCAGCAGGAAGGAGTCATGTTTTAACATGAATTTGACCAAACTGATTCAGATCTCTCCTTCCTATTAAAAAGCCAGGTGCACTCACGTTGGCATTTTAAAGATGGCGAGTGCATGTTGCAGGGTTTCAAGGGGGGTGGGGGGGGTGTTGCTCATAGAAAACAAATGAAGAACTGGACTTCAGATTCAGTTTAAGGAGACAGTCTATTTGAAAGTGTTATGCAGTAATACCATACTCAATAAATATACGTTGTGGGGTTAGGGTTAGTGAATAGCTACTCATAGAGCGTTTCTAATATAAATAGTAGATTACATCATCATCAATTGGGAAACCTTTTACATTGCACGTCTGGCGCCGCACACCTTGCCTCCTGCACAAAAATGCTTTTGTCAGATGAAGACCACACATATGTCGCCTCGATTGTTGACTCGCCCCACTCCAAAAGCATGTTGATAGAAATGCTGCATTTCATCCTGTTTGTGGATAATAATTCAGGGCGTTTCACGATGTAAGACGCCGAGCTTGAAATATTCATGTCTGTTGTTCATGTTAATTTATTGGCGAAACTGCAAGTGTGCTCAAGTGGAAGCCGGTGGAAAATTCCACGACGGTCATTAAGAGCAAACAGATGCATTACGGGCAACAAGGCAAGTTTCGACAACTCTTTGAATGGGTACTTTATCTACGCAAACCAATTACATATCCATTCCATGTTTGTTGTCTTGCCTTTTGAAACGGGTACCTTAGCAAGCTTATTTGTCTTAAAACAAGATTTCAGTTAAATGCGGCTTCGGCAGAATTTTAGTGCATATCTGACGGTATCTGCGATCCGTTGTCTAGTTGGTTGATTACTTTCCCTTTCAACTTTTCTTCCTGAACCAATTTATCGTGCCGGTCGAAGAGCTTGTTGTTGATCTGTATTGTGTGTTTGGGAACTGGTATCTGTCTGGTGTGAATGTCCACGAATCAGATGCTTGGTCCTCCTTCTCATGATGATTAAGGTGTATGATGAAAACCTGTGATGAAAGAGTGTCTCACTCAGTCTCTGGTTGGATAGTAAACCACACCTGATCAGTTTTAGAAGGAACAACAGCATCTGTTCTTTTATGTTGAACCTGAAACTTTTTTGTTTCGACAAACCATATTTTATCATCTGTTTTAATTCATGTTAAATACAATACATTCTTGTCTTTTTTTTGTTGTTGTTTTTGAGGGAAATAAAGCAGAAAATAAAGCCAAATGTATTCAACAGAATATTTTATATTGTCCAATTGATATGAGACCCCACCAAAAAAAAAGAGCCCCAAAAGTTTGGTGTAGTTAGACCAGTTCAGAGTATACGCTGCCTCTCATGCACTGACAGCAGGGAAAACCCTTCAGCATCCACTGAACATTCGGCAAGCCTCCTCGCTGCCCATCTTCAAAACCCGCCTCAAAACTCACTTGTATTCTTTGGCATTTGACTCAGCATGACTTAAATTGTTCTTGGTTTTGCTGTTCGGTGCTTTCTACTGTTTTTATTACCGATTTGCTTTACTGTTTGTTGTATATGTTAATTTGCTCCATGTACAGCACTTTGTATGCAGCGATGGCTGTTTGAAAGTGCTCTATAAATACAGTTGAGTTGTGTTGAGTTGAGCATGACCTCGACCTTCGTGAGCGGTTCAGAAAATGGATGGATGCAAAGACCTTGCAGGCGTAAAATTCAATATACAATACATATTTATACAGCGCTTTTCATAGCTGTGACCAAGCGCTTCACAGAACATTTCACAGAAGAATACAACAAAACACTGACAATAATACATTTGGAACAAATATTCCCTTAAATACACCTTCTTGTTTGAAGCGATTACAGATGAAAGAGGAGAGAATCAAAGTCTCCCTTACTATTACAATCACATCAAGAATAGAGTGCGCTGCCATACTTGTTACTTGTACTTCCAAAGGCTTCCGGCTAATTGGGACAGTTTTTGGCATGACAGCAGCCACTACAGTACATTCTGTGGCTCGTGTCCCGTGCCCCCCCCCCAAAAAAAAACAACAATCGACAAAGCGTACAGCCCAGGACAGAGTGAAGTGCTGAATATATCAGTGGAAAAAAATTATAAAAAATATAAAAATATGTGTGTGTGTGTGTGTGTGTGCATGCGAGTGTGTGCGCGAGAGTTTTGGACCTGGGCCTTCAGTGGTATTGTGAATGAATCCATCTTAATAACGCCATAATGTAACAATATGTACAAAAAAAAACCCACTGTAAAATTTTGGCTACCATCACACATTGCAGAGCATGATGCTAAACTGTTCCGAAAAACCCATGTATAGTTTCCCTTCCAAGCAGTCTCACCAGCACGCATCGATACGAAAGAAGCCGATGCGTGGCATTAAAGAACATTTCACGCATTTGAAGATAATGCTTCAATACAAAAAAAATACAAAAAACAAAAACGCGTTACCTTTATCTTCCAAAACATCACTTCAAGAACTCCAAACCTCTACTCTGCAACATAGTACTTCACAATCAATTTTCATCAACATAAAAACTTTCAATAAATAACATCATAATCACTCTGTATGCAAAGACAGAAAGTCTTACTTGTCTGTGGAGCCTGAGTTGTCCACTCCTACATGACTACTCAGAAATTTCCCCTCACATCCCTCCAAATTCTGCAGTAAAACAAGCCACTCTGCAAAGAAGCAGTCTTGGCAGAAAAAGCGTCATAAAGTCCAGTTTTTCTTCCAGCGGGGTCTGTGGGTGTGGTCAACGCCTGCACTTGAGGTTCTGAAAGCGTTGTATGAAATAGTATGTGCAAGGTTACACATTGAAGCTGAAATCTGAATGGACCCCCCCCCCCCCTCCACCCCAAAGAAAACAAAATTAACCCAGAAAGGATTGGAAGCCGGGCAGCCAAGCCATACGCAATGAAGTGAGGACAAAAGACTGTTGGAAATAAATTATTTCATTTAAGTTGAAAATGTAGGCCAACAACACTACTGTGTGTGTGTGTGTGTGTGTGTGTGTGTGTGTGAGAGAGAGAGAGAGAGACGGGGCCACTAAGGACTGTTGCAGTCTCCAGCCCCACGTCACTGTTGCTTCAAGAACATTGACGCTGGCTTTTCTTTTATTGCAACTCTGCAGCACAGTATGGCGGGAGCATTGGTGAAGCCGCACTCAGTGTCTGGCATTATAATGCAACTTCCTCGTAGCTCTCTAACAAAACGAGAATAAAGCAAAATATACAATGTGTGTGATCGTATAGTAACAAACACAGTAAAAGAAAAAAAGAACAGAGTCAATGTCATTTACCAGATGTCATTAAACACGTCACACGTATCAGAAATGGCGGCCGCGACGAGCTGCGGACTCTCACCAGTAACAAGCGCCTAAATGTAAAACGACACGAACAACTATGTACAACAAAACTGGAAAGAAAGAAACATTACCCGCAACACAGTATGGCGGGAGCATTCCGGGAGCATTGGTGAAGCCGCATTCAGAAAAAAAGAACAGAGTCAATGTCATTTACCAGATGTCATTAAACACGTCACACGTATCAGAAATGGCTGCGCGACGAACAATAATGGCGGCCGCGACGAACTGCGGACTCTCACCAGTAACAAGCGCCTAAATGTAAAACGACACGAACAACTATGTACAACAAAACTGGAAAGAAAGAAACATTACCCGCAACACAGTATGGCGGGAGCATTCCGGGAGCATTGGTGAAGCCGCATTCAGTCTCTGGCGTTACTGCACAACATTTTTTTTAAAAATAATCTTTATTGAACAAGTTACTGCACAACATACAAGCACTTGCTGTGGACCCAACGTGTAAAAAGAAAAAAAAACATAAATTAAATAACAACACACAAAGCAATGTGGTCTTGTAACAAATCAGGGAACTAATTGAGTACATCACACTGCAGAAAAAGAAAAACAAAGTTAAATATTCTTATAAAATTGATAATTGGTGGAGACTATCAACAAGATGCGACTCACCAATGCGACTTCCTCGTAGGCGGAAGAAGGTGCCACATCGTGCGCTGTTCCGTCACTGCCGTATATTCCTTTATTCGTCACTCCGTTTTTCACACACACACACACACACACACACACACACACACACACACACACACACACACACACACACACACACACACACACACACCCTCTCACCGCGCC